CTTCCCTAGAGAGAAAGACATTGAGAAAACCAAAAAACTGGCGTGCCTCTTTTTGCTCTTCAACTACCTTTGATACCTTGTGAGCTTTAAGCGAACCTTTGATACCTTGTGAGCTTTAAGCGAGAGAGAGGGCTTGATCTTGGGAGAGAGAGGTGTTCTTGATAGTAGCAGAAAGTTTCTTCGCAGCAGAGCTTTGGGTTTGAACGAGAGAGAGCATAGAGTTTCTACGCATCAGAGCTTTGGGATTTGAACAAGAGAGAGAGCATAGCTCTATGTTTGCAAAACTTTTGAGTGAGAGAGAGAGAAAGAGAGCTTTGAGTTTTACTCTCACGCATGGGAGAGAGCAGAAGGAGATGAGGGAAAAGCAAGGAGGAAAGGGTAGAGTGTGAGGATTAGGGAGAGAGAGAGAGGCACGAGAAACATGACTCAAGCCAAAAAAATTCAAATCTAACTTGAATTTTGTTAGATGGTAATTTTTGCCTTGAGATGGGATTTTTTTTTTTTCTTTCAATCTAAAAAATCTGATAAAAGCATATAGTTGTCCAAACGATCAAAGTCAGTTTCACAAAATTTTTGAATTACAATCCAAAAATATTCCAATTTTGGGTACATCCAAACTGACCCTTAATGATTATAGGGGTATTTTGGGTGTTTTATTTATTTTGATTATTTTTTTGATACTTTAAAAAAGGTGAGATGGTAAAAAGTATCAACTTCTCAAATTTGAACTTAATATGATATATATAAAAAAAAATTAAAATAAAATACACACTCTTGAAAAGTAAGACTTGAGTGTTAAAGATAAAATGGACAGAGCTATAATTAATTTTAATTAATAATAAAATAAATATTTTCCTTAATTTTTCCCTTAGATTTCACTTTTGTCTAAGATCAACATGGTGCAAAGGGCTAGGGTCAATCATAATATATTTATTAGGGAAAATGTTTTGATGGATGGATACCTATTAAAATAAGTAAAGCATCACCTCAAAACTCACATAAAATTGCAATTTGGCTTCAGAAAAGCTTCAAATCGATCATCTCAACCTTAATCATTATAGTTGTAAAAAAAAAAGGATTTTAAGCCCTAAAATTAGTGTACTTTATCACACATTATCTAGACCGTTTATTTTCAAGTATTCATAGATTCACAGATCAGTACCATTTTTTGAGCTACAAATTTCATAATTGGTAGTGGGAATTAATTTTAGAAACATATTTAAGATTTCCCGTACCCAAAGTATTTTTTGGATGAAGCTTTACTTTTTCTTCATAAGGCCTAGGCCTAGTACATATTAGAAAACTCAGCCATGAATTATAGGGGAAATTATATATCCTCCAAATTCAAGTTTCTAGACATCTTCCCCTAAAACTTTTTGTATCTCACCCTAAATCCCAATACTGTTTTTTTTATATTTACCCCTCCCCCCAAATAAAAAGGTCAGTAGATTTAAGATAAAAATGCCTGCTCTCTCTCTCTCTCTCTCTCTCTCTCTCTCTCTCTCTCTCTCTCTCTCTCTCTCTCTCTCTCTCTCTCTCTCTCTCTCTCTCTCTCTCTCTCTCTCTCTCTCTACTCTCTCGTCTCTACTCTACTCTCTACT